GCATCTGAAGTATGATCTGACGATGTTGCTCATTCTCCTCTCGGCTACGGGAGTAGATCAAGATATCATCAATAAAAACAATTACAAAGGAATCCATGTATGGCTTGAACACCCGGTTTATCAAATCCATAAATGTTGCTGGGACATTTGTCAAGCCAAATGACATCACCAGGAACTCATAATGCCCATAATGAGTATGAAAAGTCGTCTTAGGGACATCAGACGCCCTAACCCTTAACTGATGGTAGCCAGACCTCAGATCGATCTTTGAAAACACTTTGGCACCCTAAAACTGATCAAATAAGTCACCAATCCTTGCCAATGGATACTTGTTCTTGATAGTGGCTTTGTTCAACTACCGATAATCTATGCACATCCTCATCGACCCATCCTTTTTCTTTACAAAAAATATGGTCGCACCCCAAGGCAAGACACTGGGTCTAATAAAGCCCTTATCAAGCAAATCTTCCAAGTGCTCCTTCAATTTTTTCAACTCTGGCAAGGCCATGCGGTATGACTGAATAGAAATGGATTGAGTGCTCGGGACCAAGTCAATATAGAAGTCAATATCCCTGTCGGGTGGCATCCCCGGACGGTCTGCAGGAAATACCACTGGAAACTCTCGAACAACTGGTATAGAATCCATGGAAGGAACCTCCTTACTAGAATCACAGACATAAGCCAAAAAAGCTAGACAACCCTTCTCGACCATACCCCGAGCCTTCATATAAGAAATAACCCTACTGGTAGAATGACCAGGAGTCCCTCTCCACTCTAATGAGGCAACCCCCGCAAGGCTAAGGTCACTATCTTGGCGTGATAATTCAATATAGCATGATTAGGTGACAACCAATCCATTCCCAAAATGACATCAAAATCAATCATATCGAGAAGTAGGAGATCTATACGTGTATCAATGCCCCCAATAACAGCCACACACGAACGATAGATGCATACTACAATAGTATAATCCCCCATCGATGTGGACACATACACAGGAGCACTTAAATAATCACGAGGCACAACAAGATACGAACCAAAATAGGATGACACATACGAAAAAGTAGAACCCCGATCAAATAATACTGAGGCATCCCTACTGCAAACTAAAACGGTACCTGCGATAACCACATCAGTTGACTCAACCTCAGGCCTGGCTGAAAAAATATAGCATCGGGGTTGGGCCCCACCACTCTGAACTACATCTCGAGGACGTGCCTTGTCTGACTGGACTCCACCTCTAGCGGTCTGTCCTCCACCTCTAATGCCTCGACCTCCACCTCTAGTTGTATGACCCCTACCTTTAGTTGGCTGAGCGGCACAAGAACCCTGATGTTGAGAACTACTGCTCGATGCTCTTGGAAAAAACCTAACAATGTGCCTCGGATCGCCACAAGTATAACAAGATTTCGGGCTATTGTGGCTGATGAACCTAAAACTGACCATGGTGGCCTGAGTAACCACCCTAAAAACTCAGGAGCGGAGGTACACTGATAGGAGCTGGTGGTGTACTATAGGCTAGCTGATTGGAATACTACATATAAGGGACACGACCACCTGAAGCACTATGAGAAGCCTTGAGTGCGGAATGAAACAGCCTGGGAGGATGGCCTCTTCCAAAAGTACCCCTGCCTCCAGACGAGGCACCGCTAAATCTGCCAGAATGACGAGGCCTCTTGTTAGACCCCTAACCACTCCCCTAGGCTAAAACAATCTCGACTCGCCTAGCAACATTGGCTGTATCCTGGAAAGAAATCTCGCTCTTAGTCTCCTTAGCCATCTGCAATCTGATAGGCTGAGCGAGTCCTTCGATAAACCTCCTCACCCTATCTCTCTTGGTAGGAAGTATAAGAAGAGCATAACGGGCCAAATCAACAAATCGAGTCTCGTCAATAGGCGACCCAGCTAGTCTAGTCAACACAAAGTTATTCCACCATCTCTTGGCGGACCCTATCATCTGGAACACAGCTAAATCGACCTCATTGTTCTCCACTATCCCCATGTTCTGCAACACCTTATAGAAGCGGTCAAGATAATCTTGTGGGTCCTCAAAAGGTGCCCCACTAATCTTGTGGGTCCTCAATTGTTGAAGCTAGGGGACCACAATACAGCTTTCTTTTTTGCTAGCATGAAGAATAGAGTAAATCAAAATAAGATTAGAAGTCTCAAAAATACAGCTGGTGAAATTATTCAGTCTAGAGAAGCAATAAAAATTAAAATAGTGGAATTCTACAAAGGGTTATTGGGAGCAGCAGCTGATAGCATACCAGCCATTCAACCAAACATCATGAAGGAGGGCAATGTACTAGACAGAAAGCAACAGTTAAAAATAATTGAAGATGTTACTATGGAAGAGATACAACTTGCTTTGAAGGGAATAAATGAACTAAAGGCCCCAGGATGTGATGGTTTCAACTCAAAGTTCTTTAAGAAGATATGGGGGATTACAGGGCAAGAAGTATCTGAGGCAGTGCTCCAATTCTTCAACAAAGCTAAAATGTACAGACCTATTAATGTAACAACTGTTACCTTGATCCCTAAGATTCAACACCCTTCAACTGTCAAAGATTTCAGACCTATTTCATGTTGCACAGTATTGTACAAGATCATATAAAAAATATTGACCAACAGATTGCAAGGAGTGATGGACCACCTAGTTGACAAGAGTCAGTCTGGTTTTATTCCTGGAAGAGGTATAACAGATAACATAATCCTAAGTCATGAGCTGGTAAAGGGATATGGAAAGAAGGGCATCTCTCCTAGATGTATGATAAAATTGGACCTGCAAAAGGCATATGATTCTATAGAATGAGATTCTTAGAACAAGGGCTGAACCAACTAGGAATGCCAGAGAAGTTTGTAAAATGGATCATGGTATGCATAAGAACTGTTTCATATTCCATCCTCATCAATGGAAAACCAATGGAACCATTTCAAGCTAGAAGAGGACTAAGGCAGGGGGATCCATTATCACCTTTTTTATTTGTACTGGGTATGGAGTATCTTACAAGAAGCTTTAAAACACTGAGGTATAAGCCGAATTTCAATTTCCATCCTAGGTGTGACAAATTAAATATCATTCAACTGAGGTTTGTAGATGACCTGCTGCTATTCAGCAGAGGTGATACTATCTCTATTCAAATGGTGTTCAATTGTTTTATGGAATTTTTAAAGGCATCTGGATTAAAAGCAAATACAACAAAAAGCTCTATTTATTTTGGAGGGGTTCCACAGATTATACAGGAACATATAATGCAGGTAACTGGATTTAGTAGGGGAGAACTACCATTCAAATATCTTGGAGTATCATTCAGCACTAAGAGGATATCCTTGCTACAATGCCAACCACTACTGGAGAAGATGCTAGGCAGGATCACTTCATGGACTTCAAAGTTCTTATCTTATGTAGGCAGATTACAACTGATCAAATCAGTTCTATTTTCCATTCAAATCTATTGGTCACAGATCTTTGTTATCCCTAAGAAGATAATGAAGAAGATAGAAATAATTTGTAGAACATTCTTATGGACTGGAGGAACAGAGACTTCAAAAAGAGCCTTGCTATCATGGGAAAAAGTGTGTTCACCAAAGTTAGCAGGTGGTTTCAATATTATGGATATTCAAATATGGAACAGAGCTGCCATTTGCAAATTATTATGGAACCTATGCAAAAATAAGGACAAGTTATGGGTCTAATGGGTCCATCTATATTATGGGAAGAAAAAGGAAGTTTGGGAGTGCAAACCAAAGAATGCCTCGTAGATGGTACAGAAAATAATCAAAGCAAAGAGCTACATAGAAGAAGTAGGAAACAACATGGAAGAAGTAATAGAATGGAACTACTTCTCTATCAAGAAGTGTTATAATAGCATACGTGGGCAATATCAAAAGGTATCAAGGAGGCGGCTAACATGCAACAATCTAGGAGCTCCAAAGTGGATTTTTGTGTTGAGTTTAGCTATAAAAAACAAGCTACTCACAAGAAGCAGACTACACACATGGGGGATTACAAATGAAGTAAGCTGTCTTATATGTACTGAAGCAGAAGAGACTATTGAACATTTATTATTTAACTGTCGAATTACTAGAGAAATTTGGAGCAAGATACTACACTAACAAGGAATAACTAGAGCTTCGATAGAATGGCAAAGGGAGATACAATGGGCTGAAAGCAATGCAACTGGAAACAATACAGCAGCTCAGGTCTATAGATTGACCCTGGCATGTGCAGTGTACCACATATGGAATGAAAGGAACAACAGAATATTCCAAAACCAGAAGAAAACAGTAGAAATGATAGTGAGACAAATTGTAATAGAGGTAGCAATCAGAGGATCGATGAATAGTAAAACAGGAAGAAAATAGTAGAAATAGATACTTACTGTAAAGGAGGATAGAAGAAATGTAGAAAAGGGAATGGAACTAGGAATGCCCCGTTCCAGATTGAATTTTGTACATATTGCTCTTGATAAATAAAATCATTTAATTACCAAAAAAATAACAGATTAACTATTCTCATCTTGGCTACAAAAAGTACAAAGAGTTATCCATATGAAATCCCCAGTGATTATAGCTATCTTTGCTAAGTACAGGAAAAACAGTCAAGTGATTAAAAAAATTCCGACTCCAGAAGAGGAGAGCCAAGTAAAATATTTGTACAAACCAAAACTTCAGCTCTAGAGCTGAAGTTCGACAGTTACAAAACAAAAACTTCAGCTCTAGAGCTGAAGCTTACAAACAAAAAGCTAGTTACAAACAAAAATTTCACCTCTAGAGCTGAAGTTTGACAGTTACAAAACAAAAACTTCAGCTCTAGAGCTGAAGCTTACAAACAAAAAGCTAGTTACAAACAAAAATTTCACCTCTAGAGCTGAATCTTATAAACAAAAAGCTAGTTACAAACAAAAATTTCACCTCTAGAGCTGAAGTTTGACAGTTACAAAACAAAAACTTCAGCTCTAGAGCTGAAACTTGACAGTTACAAAACAAAAACTTTAGCTCTAGAGCTGAAACTTACAAACAAAAAGCCAATGACAAACAAAGACTTCAGCTCTAGAGCTGAGCTTACAAACAAAAAGCCAGTTACAAACAAAAACTTCAGCTCTAGAGCTGAAGTTTGACAGTTACAAAACAAAAACTTCAGCTCTAGAGCTGAAGTTTGACAGTTACAAAATAAAAACTTTAGCTCTTACAAACAAAAACTTTAGCTCTAGAGCTGAAGTTTGCCAGTTACAAACAAAAACTTCAGCTCTAGAGCTAAAGTTCGACAGTTACAAAACAAAACTTCAGCTCTAGAGCTGAACTTCAGGCCCGGCTACTAGAATGTTAAAGTTTTGCGTGATTGTCTTTGTTACTTCAGCCCCGTATGCTGAAGTTATGCGAAAAAGCGGGTATGCTTGCAATTTTTTTTTGCAAATCGGGCACAAGTTAAAACGTGATACAAAAAGCGGGTATAGATGCAAATGCCCCTCAATAAATGGTTATTGCCCAACCCAACCCAAAATGTATTTGGGCTAAGATGGGCTAAACAATGGATCATAATCCAACTCGCCCAACTTGACCTATATTTTAGCACCATGCTCATCTTGCATAAATAAAAAATTTTACCTTTTATATATAGGATAGAATATAAATAAATACTATTAGAATTTTGAGAATCAAAATATATTTTCTTAAACATCAAATTAGAATTAAAAATATATAAGTGAAAAATATTTTGCGAGTTGGGGTGGATGGGCGCAAAAAAAATAATAGAAAATTAAAAATACAAAAAAAGGAATATTTTTTTGAGAGGGTTTGCGGGGGGGAGTGTTGGGGGTGGGTGGTGCATAAAAACGAAAAACAAAAAATTGAAAATGCAAAAAAAAAAAAGAAAGTAAAATTGGGGCAAATAAGTAAATTTCTAGATAAGTTGGGTTGAGATCCATATGTTTTAGATGAGCTTTATGGGTTGTATTTGGGCTACTTTATGAGTTGTATTTGGGTTACTTCATGGGCCAGAAAGGGCCATAAAAAATAATGGGTTAACTTGCGGTCAATCCAAATAGACTCATGAGCTAAAATGTTTGTAATCTAACTCATTAATTTATCATAAATAAAGTATAGTATCCATCGTTAGCGCTTAAAATTTTAGATGAGGTAATTTACTCAGTTTAACACTTGACAATAACTAGCATGCACTACCAAAGTAAACATACTAACATGACAAAATTAAAGATTAACTTACCTTATCTTCTCCAAACTTGATCCAGAATCTAGCCTGAGCCCTTTCATGAGGATCCTTTGGTAGCAAAGGATTCTGAGGCCATGTCTCTTCGATGTATTCAAGGATGACTATTGACTCTGCTATTGGTTTTCCAGCATGTACAAGAACAGGGATCATTTTATAGACAGGATTGTATGTCAAAAGATCATGGCTCTTGTTTGTAAGATCTTCCTCGATGTATTCATAATTGATACCCTTGTGTTTCAGAGCCCAAATTACCCTATAACTATAGGGACTTGGAAAAGCTCCGAGCAGTTTCACTTGCTCTTCCATTTTTTTTTTCCTCAGTTGAAGCTAATACAAGTTGGCAAATTTCAAGACTCAACTTATTGCCATTGGTAATTTATCTTGATGCTTGCGTCGGACTTTGAAATTTCGACCACATATTAGAATTTTTTATGTGAACACATAGGTCAATTAGTAACGATTTAACTATTTCTGCCAAGNTATATATATATCTCTTTTGATGGCTACTTAATATTTGTCTTACCTGACAAATGAGTAATATTCTCATTTATCAAGGGTCCAATTGTTGGCCACTTATTCTCACACATTGGTTGATGTTGTTATTCGTATGTAAATAGTGGTCTAGTGGATCAGTAACCCCTTTTCCCTTTTTCCCCTTCCAAAGACAGTTTTAGAAATGAATAAATTGTTAAGCATAACATAACAAACTTACGACGAAAAAGAAAAACATAACAAACTTATGTGGGAACCTTCTTGGCTTCTTCTTCTTTATATAATAATGTAATTGGCGTTCTCCACAAATTTTGAATTGTGAAAATGGAACAAAGGGGTAAATAAACGGTCCCCAAATAGAAAAATTAAATCCCTAGGAAATACAAAAGTGGATAAAACCATCCTTCAGAATTCAGACTTAAAAGGAAACAAATATTCCATCCATTCCATTACACGACCATATTTTTTTAAAAAAAATCATTATTATAATATTATTAGAGGAGAGAATAGGAAACAGGAGAGGATTACAAGGCAAAAAATAAAGGTGAAAGCTTACGTAGCTATTTAGTTAGATGTAGCGCCCCAGAAAAGTTTCGAAATGTTATATGGTCATTAAGAGGTTCGACGTATGCTAATTATATTAATTTATATGCTAGTATTAACTAATAATATAAAAAAATATCTCATGAATATGATAACAAGTGTACGAGATATATTTGAAGTGATATAGGGCCTAGGGAGAGTCCTTGGGACAAGTTGAGTTGGAAATTACATGATAAACTAGAGTTTCAAATGAGCATTCGTAAGATCAAACTTTAGACAGGCTTGCAGTGAAGTGCTACCTAGCGTCCGGGTCCGCGTACGAGCTTGGAGGAAGAGTGAGCTGGGGACGCGAAGCATCCGGGGCAACATCCGAAACCTAGAAATCTGGGCCTATAAGTATGAGGTCGGGGAGAAAGATTATTTTGAGATTTTGGGGTTAGGGTTCTTGAGGTCAAGAGGCGATTTTAAGCTCAATCAAGTCCAACCAACTAAGGTAAGTTGTTAATGATATTTTGGATTGATTCTTACTCAATATACATGAATTCTAACATCATTCTTACATACAAATACTAGATTTCATCAGCAAATGTTTAAGAACACAAAAATTATTTTAAAATTATGATTTTTCTAGATTGATCTACAAAAGGTAATTCTAATGCTTCAAACTCATTTATTATGAGTAGTTAGAAGTATTTGTAGCATTTGTTACAAGTTTTAATTGATGAAAAATTAGATTATAAAACTTTAGTTCATGACATGAATAATATTTTTGAGAAAATGAGAGAGTAGATGAATAATATTCTTGGAAATAAAATTTATGAATACAGTGAACCTACAAAATTGTTTGTTAGTAAAAGTTGGACGTGGTCAACTAAGTAATCATCCGAATTGTATATTTTGAAAGTGTTGATTAAGGAAAACGTTGAATAGTAAGTTGATGGCATTGGATAATTGTTGTAGTATCATTAATGACTTTGAGTGCGTATTAAATTATGAAGTTGAATAGTCTAGTTATTGAACCTATTAGACGATTTGAGTTGTTGGAGGCTTGTAGCCGACTTACGAGCCGTAAAATGGATATTGACCAATACGTTGGGTTATATTTTGATGTTATTAGGATATATAATTGTAGATATCGACTTGTTGGTGATATTTGATTATTTTAATCCATATTGGAGCAATGTAAGAGAATTAAAAGCTTGTGAATGGTATTAAAGCGAAGGCAAGGTGTTGAATAAAACTTACTCTTCTCGAGAGATTTTCTCTAAAAGCATATTTTGAATTAATGGTTAAGTTATTTGCAAATGTGTTTTCGTACTTGTGGGGACAAATGAGTGTGAATGTCTCCGTATACAAAAATATTATGTTGCATATGTAGTGTCATGTTGTTCTATAAAATTTTATGCTAAATCTTGTCGGCAAAATGACAATTAAGGAAATTGTTTTAAGTCTTATCAAAATTTATGTATCAATAAGAGTATCGATATTTGAGTGATAAAGATAAGTTTTCATGAAAAGTATTTCTTTTAAAACTTGATACATGAATAGTACTTATGGTATCTTTTTTTTAAAGATTGATGTTAGATTGCTAAAGGTTTTAACATGTAAAAGATTGTTTATATGATTTTTATTCAAATGTTTTGGATTATCTATTACTTTTATGATCCTTCGAGGCTATTATGCCATGAATCTATTTAGAATATTAAATATTTTGGGAGTTGCTAGTAGAGACCACCGAGATTGGTTCGAATATTGAGTTCGTTACTATGAAACTACACGTGTCGGTTTAGGGACACATTCCAATGGTAAGTCGAGCTTTGTAGTATAAGTCCCCCGAGTAGGCAAAATGTGCTATATTAGCATGACTGAGTCGATTCATGCGGTACTGTGATGAGACGGCCTGAGCAAGTAGGGTATATGATACTTGCCTCTAGGTTGATCACCTAGTTGACGTTGTTCTTCTGTCGGCGTTGGTATAGTTCTCCCGGTGAAAGGTAAAGAATAATGTCACGACCCTAAGTTTTCTCCATAGGATGTCGTGATGGTACCTAGTCTTTACGACTAGGTAAACCTAACAAATAATAATAATTTGGCAGCAATAATTATCAAAATACTAAGACAAAGCTGAATAACTGATATAACCTTTCGAAAACAGAATCTCATCAATATATTCCCCCAAAATCAGATGGAACTGAGTCATAAGCTCTACAAAGTACAACTAGAGTAACTACTACATCACTGTCCAAAAGAAAATACAACAGTAAATGAGAATAAGGGAAGGAGACTCCGAGGTCTGCGGACGCCGAGCAAGCATACCTTGAAGGCGTCATAAGGCAGCTACAAATGATCTCAAGCGACCGGTACGAGCAGACGTACCTGGATCTGCACAAAATATGCAGAAGTGTAGTATGAGTATACCATAATGGTACCTAGTAAGTATCAAATCTAACCTCGGTAGAGTAGTGACGAGGCCAGGTCAAGACACCTACTAGAATATAAATAAACCGTATGAAAATGTAATAAGGATAAATAATGGAAAACGGATGAATAACTGATAAGAACCAAGATAATAGTATGAACTAATACCGGAAATTAAACAAAGAAATAGCATAAAAGAAGCAACTAAAAAGAACTACGATGATAGTTGTAAGCACGTAATTTTTGACCTGTCACGTTTTAAGCTATTTTTAGTATTTAAAATAGTTATTTAACTTAACTTTAATTTGTATGGAATTTTAGTTTATTTTTACTTCAAATTACAATTTAAAACAAAAATACAAAATATTTTTATTTTTATTAAGGTCATTAGTATTTTGTAGTAAAATCGTTTTAAGTTTATTATGATTTTATATCTTTCCTATTTTTACCTTAATATAATCTTTGAAAAATACAAAAAATATATAAATGTAATATAATTTTATTTTAATATAGATTTATTTTAGTTAAAATCAATTAGCATTTTTATTATTTTGAAAAAAAGAAGAAGAAAGAATTGGACAATTTTTCTTGTCTATCTCTTGTTTGAGAGGTTCTAAGAGGATGCCCAAATTCTAGTCCAGACGCCCCAACCCATCAGCCCATCTCCCACTTAAAATGAAGAATACATCTCAGCCACTCAAATTCTTTCAATCAAAGGGCTGATATTTATTTTTTCACGCCAAATATAAATCCCTTTATAACATTTTCACAAAGGNGATTTTCCTTCAACCCACTAAGAAAACACCCAGCGATCTCTCACCCCATTTTCTAACTGAGCAGTACCTCCAGCCGTCGCCTACCATTTCCCCACTGTCAACCAGCCTTCAAACACTATTAATCCAGCTCCAAACGAGACAACAACACCCCACCTTATTGAAAAACCTTCAGCTTCCAGATCTCTCTCAATCTTAGAGAAATCAGCCGCAACCTCCCCTCATTCAAAAAGAATCGGCTAGACACACACACTCACGAGAGAGACAAAAAATCGGGACAGAGGGAGAGGAGAAAAGTTCTAGATCGACTTCGATTAAGGTTTGGTTCTGAGTTCGTTTGCCGATTGGAGATTTCTGTTGCCAAATCGAGTTTCGCTACTAGTTCGTGGTCTCAGCTTTGTTTTGTTGCTTTATTACTGATTTCTTTCGACTTTTCGCTGTTGTACTCACTTGAGGTGATTTCGAGCAGAAATAATTAAGAACTCTTATTCAGGTCCATTTCTTGATTCTCATTTATTTTATTTGGTGTGATTAAAGTATGAAAAAGTCATGGGAAATTTATTTCTAGACTGGAAATTCTGCTCTTGTCATTTGATAATTTGCTTGGTGTTCGAAATGTTTGAGCGTGAATAGTTGGAAAATGAAGCGTTCAGATTATACTTTAGTTTGCGGGATAGATCGACTCGTCTCTAGCTTATTAATACCTTGATCTGTTTGTCTTTTCTAGTATCTGCTTGACGCTTGCACCAATTTGCCTTCATGTTTCATGTTAAAATACACTTTGATCTTCGCGTTTTAAGAATTGTACTTTTGTTACATTCATAACCAGCTCCTTTGAGTATTTTGTTCGTCCCCTAGGATTGCACAAGAAATAGGTTGGTTGAATGATCATGTTGATTTTCCAAAAACATGTGTTTATTGGTCTTAAAATCAGTTTAAGCAATTACTTTGTTGTTGAAATTTAATAACCATGCCTTCCAGTGGGCATTTATTGCATTTCTTGCATTAATGTTAATAATATCTTCCATTCAAGGCAACCGGTGTAGGGATTAACTAAGACCTTCTATTTTGTTAATTATC